TTTGTAGAGCGGTCTAGCATTAATTTTTGATATTAGAACTCTACTCAATTCCTTTTTGATAGACCATCCCTTTTAGTTAGTATATTTTGTTATATAAACTAGAACGCACATGCAGTAGATCAAGCTATCAAGTAAACAAAAAATTCATTAAAAAATAGGATACTGAGTCTAATGAAAATAAGATACTGAGTCTAATAGAAGGAAGAAATGCAGAGTATAGTAAACTAGAGCACATGCGTACTAGATTAAACATAAACTAGAGTGTGCGCGCTGTAGATTAGATATGCACAAAAAAATAAGGCAAGATGAAAAACTTTCTAAAAATATGAGAAATGACTTTAAAGAAATAGGAAATATTAATTTCAAGCCAAAAATAAGAAATAACAAAATATTCATATTTTCAACCCAAAATTCCAACTTCTATGAAAAATTCTAAAATCAATCAATTAATCCAATAATGCATAAAACATCTATTCAACCTTAAGATGTCATTTAAATCGAAGATTAATGCGGGACAAAATATATAAAAATTAAGCTTTATTAATTTTCTCACACTTAGCCTTTATACTCCTGGGCAAAGCAATTATGTTTGTGAAATGGTCTGGTTTTGATTTTTGATATTAGAACTCTACTCAATTCCTTTTTGATAGACCATTCATTTTAGTTAGTACATTTTTTTCATATAAACCAGAGCGCACCTGCAATAGATCATGGTATCAAGTAAATGAAAAACTCATTAAAAAATTGGAGAGTATAGTAAAGTAGAGCGCATGCGCACTAGATTAAACATAAACTACAACACGCGCTATAGATTAGATATGCACAAAAAAATAAGGCAAGTTGGAAAACCTTCTAAAAATCAACTTTCCAAAAATATGGGAATTGACTTTGAAGACATAGGAAATATTAATTTCAAGCCAAAAACAAGAAATCACAAAATATTCATATTTTCAATTCAACATCCCAATTTCTATGAAAAATTCAAAAATCAATCAATTAATCCAATAATATGCACAAAACATTTTTTTTTTAGATTCCAAGCCCAATTTTAAATTTCAAAATAAGCCCAACCCATACCAAAAATAGTTTTTTATTAAAAAAAGAAGAAAAGAATATTGAGGAGGGCTCGCCTGTATCCACATCACCAGCCCACTTTACCACTTCTAATAGGCAGCTTTATATAACATTCGTTTTATATGTCCATGGAGGGGGTTTGTACACACATCTATAATGGAACCAGTTTCGTGATGAACATCGTAAACTCATTAAATATGGATCATTTATATCTTATTGAGATGATCCAGATTTAGTTTTTTATTTTTATTTATTTAAAATAATTATTTTAATATATATAGAATCTAAAATAGAAATTAACTCTTAACTATCATTCTTTCAAAAAATATTTTATTTAAAAATAATTAATTAAAAATTTAAAGTTTGAACCGTTTAAATCAGATATAGATAGTCAAGATTTGATGAATTTAGGGCTTGATTACCATTAAAACTAGTTCCCATCTATAATCTATTCATTAATTTAGTTTTACGCTATTAATTAGGATTTGTATCATTGCTTGGACTTATTAATCTTTGAAGATATGGGTATGTAATCCTTGAATAATTTCTTTTAAATAATACTACATCCGATCCTTAATATAAGACCCAATTGAATAGATCAAGAAAGTTAAAAAAAATTACTTCATTATAACATATGTTATATGATCTTCCTAAAATATTTATGCATATTAATAGATTATATACTAGTTTATGACTTGAGTAAATTAATTTGGAGAAAAACGATGACTATGAATACTTATAAGTAATCTTTTAATTTTCTTAACCTTTTCAAATTAGTGAGCTGCATCTTATAATAGTAAGAGGAGGCAGTATCATCTTTGTTACAATTTCTAATTCCGTCATCACTTTGCTGCGTGAATTTCGTCATAACTCCGTCAAGTTTATCTGTTTTATATGTGTGCTTTTAGAAAATTTCAACTATTATTCATACTTGATAAGATGTGAATATTCGCCAGTAATAATAAGACTTAAACCCACATTATCTTCGAAGTATTTAATCTACACATACCAGAACCAGTTTTAATTGACGTAAAAGGCAAAGTAACAGGACGAACTAGACACGAGTGTTAAAGGGAATATTGATTGCCGCAGCCAAGTCACGGCTAGCCTGCGAGCTCAACTTTTCATCAATCGCCTCACATATTGCCCCTCTTATCCTTAATATAAGATATGTTAAACTAATTTAAATAAATTAAGAAAGCTAGATAAGTTAGTTAACTATAAAAAAATATGATATTTTTTCTTAAAATATTATAATCATTTTCTTTAATATCTTCATTTCCTCTTTTACTTTATTATAGCTGAAAGATTGTCAATAGGGATCATTTTAAAAATAATAATAAATATGAAAAATAAGTCTTATATTAAGGATCAAAATCAACTCAATAATTAGGTTCTATATTAAGGACGGAAGAAGTATATTATACAGGTGTGTGTATACATATATGTAATATTTTTGTCGACAAAAATCAAAAGCCGCATTACTATAAGTAACTGTACCGTTCTGAAAAATATATAATTGACAGCATTACTATAAGACAAAGTGGGATATATGTGAAACATCACATGGGATGACGGATCAATAATCCATGGATGCTTCAGTTAAGAGTAGTGGAGGGATATTCCTTGATCATGGATGCATGCATGGCAATGGCTGGCTACCAGCCAGCACTAAAATTTCACAGGAATACGATGCCCTTTACACACAATTTCCTTTTCTCTCTGCAAATTCTCATTCTCTCCCTTAACTATAATAATTAAAGTGCTAGCTGTTAATACGAACATAATAAAACCACTGCACTGTAACTCACCAATATGTATAAATTAATAACTGCGCTCTCTTATATATGCAATATATCTGATGCGTACAAAAAGTATTGTTTACACATAGAAAAGGAGATATATATGCGTTGTATTATTAATCATCTTTATACAAACACATACACTTGGGTGTTCTTCTAATCAGCTCTATATATATAGATGAACGTACGCGGGTGTCTCCCAGCGGAACACATGTCTTTTCAGTTCACTTGTGTGTGTGAGAGATATGCTAGGTATATCATTATTTCACATTAAGCGCCTAAACATATATGCTTTGCTTGTTACCCAGATCCTGATTTTACATATTGATTTTCTACAAGATTCTTAAATTTTCTACTTTGTGTATCTTTAAGTTTATCATCTTTGATATTTAATACTACCTCCTGTTCTAACTATAAGACCACATTTATAGACTATAATCGAGGTCTTATAATTAAAACCGGAGGTATAGTATTATAAGAACTGTTTAACAATTTCACAGATCTTAAGAAATTTAATTAAAGTTGAGTATAATTTTAAATTAGTCCAGAATTTAACCCAGTTCTCATCTTAATTTCTCTTCACTTATAATTGGTGTGTATATAGGATTGTGGGAGGGAGGAAGTCAAAGCAACAAGGGGCATTAAGAGGGGGGGGGAATTTAAGTGAGACAAATTGAAAAAGTTTTTATATCAATAAACACCAAACAACTCTTTGGAAAAATATTGTTAAATGAAAGATTACATTAAGGAAGCACTTCTTAGTATTAGTGCAGTTTTATAAATTACTACATCCAGTCCTTAATATAAACCTCATTCGATTTTTATTTTAATCTTAAATATAAGACTTCAATCGATTTTAGCTCTCATATTTGTATACTTTTTTTCAAGATAGTCCTTTTAATAATGATAATTCTACCCAATACACTTGATTAACAATGATATTTTAGAAAAGACAATACCTATTTATTACAAATAACTAACTTAACTTATTTCATTAATCTTTTCAAATTAGTCAATTAGTTCTTGTATTTAAGACTGGAGTTAGTATTTCTGAAACTACTTGAGGTTTTGAACTGACGACATAAAGTAAATTGATTGGTTCTTATTTCCTTTGCTTTTGCTTTCGATTCTTGCATGCTGCTGATCGCTGTTGACGATCCTGTTAAATAAGGCATTAAAGTTTTTGTTTATTTTAGACTCAAACGTGCAAAAGGCAAGCTAATATATATATATATATATATATATATATATATATATATAAGTCAATGGAAGAAGCCCTCCCCATCGGTCTTTTTTATGGCATCTCTTCTAAATCTAGTCCTTTATTCCACAATTCCTCATTTCTTAAATTCTTTTTAACCACAAATATTTGTTCATGCTAAACACGTTCTTGAATATTGAGTTACGCTAAACAAATCAAAATGAGTCTGTCCTGTGACTTGTGAGACTGAAACTCCTCTCTTTCCTGTAATAGCTACAACGTTTTTTCATAAAACAATCAGAGTCGGTTGTGAAATCAAACCAGTTGGAACTAAAAAAAAAACTAGAAGATACTCCAACCCCCAAAAAAAAAACCAGAAGACACTCAGTTTAAACCAAAATAATAATCCTAATGCTGAAACCTTTGAATAGGGAACTAATTAACAGAAATACAAAATAGTCATGTGTAAGTAATATGTAATTATAAAAAGTATCACACTATATGGTCATTGAAAACCCATAAGGGGTGTGGGTAGAAGTCAAATCATAGTTTTAAAGTAATTTTACAGTATACGAAGTAAGTTTGTAAAAATAGTTTTGCCTCAACTTATATAAAAGTATCTTTTAAAAGTGTTTTTAAGGGAAACTAAAAACCTCTAAAAAATTGAGATTTGAGTATAGACATTAACAGAAGAAAGGATGTAAATAAAACCTTCTAGTTTTTTTTGCCCTCAACAAAAGCTCTAGTTAAAGTAATAAAAATATTGCAATTCTCACAAGTGCAAAACACTAATTTAATTATATGATTTCGCATTAATTACTTAAAGAACAAAAAGTGGTAAAATATATGACATAATACTTTTCTATTTTTTCCATTAACCAAAATAAAAGAAATGAAAATGAATAGATATAAATGGTTTTTGAGCTAGGATTAATGAGAATAAATAATTACCTCTCTTGCAATGAACACCAAAGCTTTCCTAAATAAGAATATTCCACATGTACCGTAGAGCTATCTATCTAAAAGCATGCTTAGGCTTAAGAAGACTTTTTTCCTTTTTAGCCAACGGCTTAAGAAGACATTAATAAAGCCAATAAAAATATAGTTATATATATATATATATATATATATATAAAATATGCAAGATGGCTTTGATGTGTTTATTACAAAAGCAAGGTATGGTGTGACCATGAAGAACTTCCATGTCAAAACTAGAGGGACTCCTCAACATCCAGAGATTAGGGCGTCAAATTAACCGAGTAAGAGGCGCGACCGGGTGCTTAATCTTCTGCGGAAGGGTGCACCACACGCTCTGGTGCTCCGTTATCAATGTAGCTGTCACCGCTCATCTGATCAAGAACCAGGATCAATCCCATGGCGAATGCCCCGTCGAAGCCAGGCTTGACGCAGAGCGAGAACACTTCTTTGCCCAGCATCACCCTTGTGGTGGGGTCCACCTTCCGTCGAACTTCCGCCACCAGTTTCCTCTTGGCGTTGTAGATCTTGCAGCTCCGCTGCGAGAAGCACCCTTCGATCTGGTACTCTTCCCCGGAGCCGTCGTACACCTCCACCGTCACCGTCGTCTTCGACCGTCCGATCATCGACGATCTTCTCGCGCTGAAGATCGGCTTGTCCCCGTCCATCCTCTCCCCTCTAAAACCCTCCCACCGTTGATGTAAACTCGGCCTCTGCATTCGCAAATCAAACACCAACCCCATTTTAATCCACTATTATAGTAATACATAATGCAAATAAGCTAATTAAAACTGATCTCAATGATTGATTGGACTCGGTGAGTGGGCTCGTAAGTACAGGAGAACTACGCACCTTGCGGCGGACGGTGAGGAGGCAGCCGCCGCGGGGATCCATGAGGACGACTTCATCTTGGAGGCGGGGTTGGGGGCCGTAGGAGTCGACACGGAAGACGAGTTGGCCGTGGGAGTTGTAGACGGTGAAGCCGTCGCCGGCGAAGAAGAGGGAGGTCTTGAGGACAGTGAGGTGGGTTTCTTGTTTGAAGACATAGCAGTCTTGGGGGAGAGAGGGCTCTTTCAACTTCATACTCTTGGGTTTATTGTACAGTAAATTCCTGAATCTGCGAAAGATCTCCAGGAGGACGTCGAAGTGAAACCACAGAGTGATAGGGGAAGACGACGGAGGAGGGTGAAGCAGAAAGGGTTAAGTTAGAGGGGATGTATATATAGCAGTTGGAAAGGTGAAGAAGGAAAGGCACACGCAGAGAACTCGGAGTCTCGGAGCCCATATTTTGACATGTGGTGTTGATGAGTTGTCACTTTGTCATTGGAGTAATTATCATGGGACAGTAAGCCGTGGTCTTTCCTAGCTTCCCCCACCAAATGGAAAATCATTTACATCAATGTAAGTCAGATCCACGGAAAGAAAAACTCTTTCCTCAATCATATAATTGTGTGTCGTAATCTTTTAAATGTCATCTAAATTTCTCGTGTGGTGGCATTTCTCATCATCCATCCGACGAACGACCTCTGATAATCTAATTTTTATATATTTGAAGAGCTCCAAATTTTCTTGGTCAAATCATAAAAATAAAACACTTATTTCTAAGAAAAAATCCCAAAAAAAACTCTTGGAATATAGAAATTTCACATTGGGTCTTGGAATTTTAAAAATAACAGAAAGGGTCAATGACTCAATCTGTCATTTGTAAAATCAAGAGAATAACTACTCACTTTTTCGTAGTTAGATGCCTTGTAGTTAATAACAAAAGTGAGTAGTTATTCTCTACACAAATCTAGATAGCGCCTAAACACTTATAGTAATTCCTTAAATCATTGTAGTGAATACAAATGAGGGCAAAGTTATCAATTCTTCTTGATTTTACAAATGACAGATTGAGTCATTGACCCTTTCTGTCATTTTTAAAATTCCAGGACCCAATCTGGAATTTTCTATATTCGAAGGGTTTTTTCTGAAATTTTCCCTATTTTTAATTATTAATATAAAACTCAATTGAATAATTTAAAAAAAATTATTAAATTACTTAATATAATTATAGTATATGTTACGTTATCTCTTTAAATACTTACATATATTATCAGATTATATATCAATCTATAATTAAGGCAAGTTAATTTTTTTTAAAAAATGATAAATACAAATACTTTAAAACAAGTTAGTAACTTTCTTAATCTCTTTAATTTAATTAATTAGATCGTATATTAATTATTAGAGATAGTATGATTTACGAAAAAAATTCAACCACAAGATTTAACGCAGTTGACATTTAACTGACTTATTTAAGTATCTAGTCAGAGAGTTGAATTTTTAGATGTGTGTATAGAGATATTCTTGTTGATCCTACTCTCAGTACTCATTTAATTCTTTCTCTCTCACACGCATATGAATAAATAGAAACAGAGGGGTATTAAACATGCAGAGTGACTCTTATGGACTTATTTTTTTATTTTGAAACTTGTTATTATAAGCGATTTAAGTTATTATTAAAACTTTTTAACAATTACTATTTTATTTGCAAACTCATTGTAATTCTAGATTCTAAGCAAAAATTTTGGTCCCCCTTAAAAATGTGTGACTTGTGTCTTCGTTTTTTATTTTATTTTTAATTTGTATCCCACAAAATATTTGTAAATAACTAAGAAATCCTGCAATTGGGGAAAGGTGAATTATCCCTATTTAGATTTTTTTTTTTTGCTGGGAAGGACGTGAATTCAGAGACTAATACTTTCTGTAAATGACATATTGTAGAGTTATCTATACTCTATATACAAAAACACATCAAATATTTTTAATCAATAAAATTTTCAGATAAATACTTTTCATTCATTTATAAACTATATATAGCAACTTTTTTTTAATGTAGAATTATGAGGCCAGCATTTAATCTGTAATTATTGTCATAAAATTGAGAGGCATTTAAAAAAAGATAAAGTCTAGATTCTAGAAGGCCCGTTAGGTTTAAAATAAAATAAAAAAACACTATTTCTTGATTCAATTACAAGGATCTCAACCATCTCAAGATTAGATTAGGAATTTAGGATAAGTATCTATCTTAATATTTTTATTTGGCTTTAGAAGATCCGTATGCAGGAATATATAAATATGGATAATGGATGCTATGAAACATGAGATGTAGTAATTTAATTTGTTGCTTAATTTTGGGCAAAGTTAGGCTTAGGACATAGCTAAAAACCTCACCAACTTTGCCCAGATTCATAGACAAACTTGCTAAAATTAGAAAGGATTCAATGTTACGTAAGATAGAATAAGACCACAGATTCTGGATTCATTCATTTGGCCATAATTGTCCCAAACTCATGAAGGAAATGGAAAGAATGGAAGTGATTTGCATTTGATAGAATTATCCATAATAATGCAAACAGAGTAATATTGAAATGCGGCTCCAAGTATCTATGTGCGGGGCGCGCAAGGCTTTGTTCAAAATTGAACAAATGGAAAGAGATCCAACTAAAATGAATACGAATATGATCATTTGATTTGGTTTGTTTCAAATCTAATTTGGTTTGAATCAATTATGGATCCCAAAAAAAATTTTTGAATGCCCGACCTGAAAATTTTTTAAACAAATTTGTACATTAATCTTTTAACATATATATAATTAAGCTTTAATTTTTAATAAGAGTATATTGAAAGAATCTTACAATACTCTACATCTTTTAATGCATAAACTATTTTCTTCTCCATGCCCATGCATATAGGGCTACATAACAATAGATAGACTGGATGAGAGCCTAACTTGAAGTTTGGTTTGATTTTTTGGTTAGGCTAGATTTAGCAGTTTGTGACCTAGTTCACTCTAGTAGTAATTCAATGTCAGGTTGAATTGAACTAGATCCTCCAAACCAAAAGACTAGTTTAGGAAGTCTAGAAGACCAAAACTCTTTTTTTTAAAAATTTCTTTTATGTGAAGCAAGATTTGAAAATGATAAATACAATATTAAGACAATAAAAAAATACTTATAATCATATAAAACTCATCCTTAAATATCATAAATACATAAGAATCTCTAACAACACTAAAAGCAATGAAATGTAACATTTAAATTACAAATTATAAAAAAAATAAAAAAATCACCCAAATCGAACTAAACCAATCCATATGGTGTGATTACTTCATTTGGAACATAGTCCGGACCTATCGACCAATCTGGTCCAATTATATAATTTATTTGAATTAGACTTGACCTGACCAAACCCCTTCGATTAATTTTGAAATAAAAAATTCAAAAATATTGAAGTAAGAAATTCAAAAAAAAAAAAAGAATTAGGCAAAATGTCCCTCTCCCATCCCCAATGGGACATGACGTTTTTGCAACAAGAGGGAATGTAGGACAAAAATATTGTCCCATCTCATAAGCACCTCTAATAATGAGAAAAAACATTTTTGATATGACAAAAATTAAACCAATCTTACAAATAATAAGTATTAAAAATTGAACCAAACCTAATTTTACATCTAGAACAAAAATGTTCAAAATTCTTCTAAACTAATTAATTTTATTGGATTTGATTTTTTTTTCCTACTCAAAATTGAACTGGAATCAATCAAATATATGAATCCGGCAATAAGTTGCGGTCCCACATAGCTAATTGCAATGGCAGCCTCTCTGAAGTGGCACACACTGAAGACTAAAAATGGAAACCACCTTTAAAATTCAATGCCTCTTAGGATAAATTCAAAGATTATTTAATTGATTGCATTCATGGAAGTAGCACGTGGATGACTTCGTTTCCCTACTCCTCTTGACTTTGCTATACTTGCTTCATTAAGTAGGACAAGTCAAAGCCCCCCCAATTAAACGTCACGTGCTGCACACCTGTGTTTGTGATATTTATATCTCTTTTTCTTTTATATATATTATATATATTTACATATCCACCGTCACAGTGTCACACTCACAAGTCCTCCATCTTTCAAAGGATGATGCCGTCCTCATTATTTGGATCGCTCAAGTCTCAAATCTGAGAAGAAATTACATTCTACTTTTATAAGTAAATTTTGACACGACAAAGGGAGCAAATTTGTGAATTTACTTTAATCTTAAATGCAGTATTATCTCAGATCCTTAATATAAGAACTAGTTGACTAATTTGATTAGATTGAGAAAACTAATTAAATTATTTATTTATAATAAATAAGTTTTATCTTTCCTAAAATATCCTTGCTAATCAATTGTATTAGCTAGAACTACCATTACTATAAGAACTATTTTGAAAAAAAAGAATAAATATGAGAGACAAAATAAATTGAGCTCTTATATTTAGAATCAAAATAAAAGTCAAACAAGTTTTTATATTAAGAATTGAAAGTAGTATAATACTTCATTCAATTCAAAATATAAATTACTTCAAACAACCCAACTGAAATCAAGAAAGTCCAGCTAACTCATTAAATATGTTTTAGTTTTAAAAAAAATCTAATTTTATTCATATTAAATGATATCTTGAAGAAGAAAAAAGAAAAAGAAAATACTTTTCAAGCGATTAACAATCAACACAAAATTGATAAATAAATATTAATTATTTTTCAAGTTATTTGAATTATATATTGACCGAATGATTTTTCTAGAATGTGACTTATATTTTGGATTGAAACTAATATCTCAGTCTACTTTATCAGTAAAATTTTAACTTTTTTTTAGTAAATTATTGCAAATTATCAAAGATGGTATTTTAGAAAAAATAATTTCTTTAATATTGATAAATTAATAACTTAGTTCTCATATCTAACACAGGAATGATTATTAATTACCCGCCATGTCCACCTACAGCGATAAATCACAAGCAAAGATTAAGTAACCAATTAGTTCAACTAAACAATACCAATATTTGATATTCGACTTGAAACCACAGTAACCAAATCTGTATACAACTGGATTTTATTATTACTTAAACTCGCTCGCTACTTTGTGTGTAGAGAATTATTATTCAATTCACCAAACTAATTCTTTAATTTGATAAATATATTATGTATTAATGATGCTTAAATCATGGTCTTACCTTTAAGGAGGAGTGAGAACTTGTGATGTTCAGTTTCTAGGAAAGTATTTTCCTAATCATAATTGGCGGGATGTC